AATAAAATGAAAAAAATCGTGCTTAGCAATGATCTTAGATAAATCCTTCTGGACTACGTATACGGAAAAGCTATTTCAATTTTTACGGCGATGAACCAAACAGAAAGTTTCAGGCTATAAAAGTTGAGAAACAGTCTAGCTTCAACAGCCGTGCCTTAAGGATGTAGGTGTTTATTGCTCCTTCAACAGGATAAACAAATAAGAGCTTCTTTTAATTCTCTTAATATTAATATTATATAGTAATATTAATTTTCTTATTATTTTAATTTGATTTTCTTTTATTAAATACGTAAGAGGAATTCATTATTTTGTGTGTGTGTGTGTTTACTTATTTTTTAAATTGTAATTACGTTTTTTTTAAATGTCAGTTAATATTTATGGGCGGAGGAAAGTTCCCCCATATATAGAAAATAACAAGAAACAATTTGTTAATGTATGTAATGAATATAACTCACCTAAAATGGTAACAGAAGGAAATTGTTATCCGGAATTTAATTCGGATAAAATAATTCCTCAAATAAATATTAACTTTAAAAAAGAAAGATACTTACATAAATCTACAGGTTTAGAACCATATTTTGTATTTATTAAAAGTGATTCTACAGAAAGAGTAGGAATAGGTCGATTACATTCAATGTCTACTGAATGGATCAAATGTCTATTAATGCGTTAGTGTTCGAAAATTTGAGAATGAAGCAAATTAATGTTTACGTACTAAGTTTTACATTAAAAAAGAAAGGCGTTACTTAATTTTAAAATAATAATTTAAAAACATTATATTAGGACACTCAAAAAATTATTAATGTTATACTTTTTAAAAAAATAATTATTAATAAAAGAAAAAAATTTCGTAATTATGTTCAGAGGTCACCCACCCAGTATCAATATCTAAAAGACATCTAAAATATATATTTTTTTAGTTTTCTTTAAGATATAAAAAAAAAATATCTAACAGATGACCATTTCTAGATGAATTTTGAAAGGTGGCTAAAGATCTTTTAAACCAGATGTCTTAAAAACGTAATGAATCGGATATATGAATGATATATTTCACACGATGAAAATTGGATAGCCTGCTCGAAATAATCATGTGGTCATAATATAACCTTAGCTCAGGTTTAATATAAAAATTGTGATATCTCATTCGAATGGAAAGCAAGACAATAAATAATTTTTATGAGTATGGATTGAAGAAGTTTGAACAGCGGTGCCCACAAGGAGGTTTCATGCGCCATTAAAAATTTTTAGGGGGGCATATTTTGACGGGTTTTTGAAATTTTGTGGGAGGCACATTTGACAGTGTTATGAATTTTCAGAATGAAAAGTTTGATAATGAGGGACAAGGAGAAAACATGAAACGGACCGCACCAAGTGTAATTGTGTATGATCTACGATTATTTTAATTCTACCTTCGCTTGCTCTGTTTTTAAGAAAATATAAAAAATAAAATATCTTGGTAGTGGGAGAAGGGGGGGGGGGGTGGATTCTTGTGCCATCGACCTTGGGGGGTATGAGCACCCCTGAGTTTAAAAATAGATAACATAAAATAATTTGTCACTAATCGATTATGGCATGTGAGTACATTTTATGATTTTTTAAATTAATCTGGCATAACAAATTAAATTATTTAGAAAAAGGAGTTAGATAGTAGACTTCGCAGGGAGAGTTTGTTTACGGAGCTCCGTAGGAATTATCCAGTTTTTCTACTATTCAGATACGATTACTTCCAGTTCTTTTCTTTTTGTTCCATTTACTTATATACAGGGTGTTTCGTAATTGCACGGCACCATTTTAGGTATATGTTCACTAACACAAAATAAACAAGAAAGTTCATATTAATATATATCTCCTTTAAGGCTAGAACGGACAAGATACAAAAAGATATAGAGAATTGTGGAAGTTACATAATATTTAGACAACAAATTTTAAACAATGTGAATAAGCTTTTTAAAATTATAAACAGTAAGCACATTAAAATATAAACAGAGTAGAATAACAAGATAACTGCTGCTTCCTAAACTGAAGTAAATAGATGGTAACAATTGTTGTAGTGTAATATATAATATATGCAAATGTGAATATACTTCTACAGATCTACAGGAGAGATTGAAAGAAAAGGAAAAAGGATATAATATGAAATAATAGACATAAAGGAATGTGGAGAAAGAAAAGAAAACCAAAAAATAAATAAATAAATAAATAAAATTAGAAGAATAAAAATAGAGACTTACAAGTGTGTTCAGCTTGGAGTTTCACTTAGAACTGCAAGTGTGAATGTTATTCTACCTCACTTTAACTAATGTCCAAGAGACAGATTGTTGTAATACTCAATAAATAAATAAAATATAAAAAACAAAACAAAAAAAAACTGGAAAATCAGGGTAAGGGTAGGTATTATGAAATTTGCTGACCTGTTTGGGAAATGAGAAAAGGCCTAGAAAATTACAGTATCTAAAATTTGAAGATATGGATGGGTACAAGGGAAAAATACTATATCTATGAAATAATAAATAATAAATATATACATATACATATAAAATAGAATTAAGAGATTATAGATAAGAGTATAATGTGAATAAAAACAAAAATGGAAGAAGTAAAACGTATATAGAAGTAAAATATAAATATAGAAATAAGAGACCATCCATTGCAGAACTAATTTAGAAGTATAGAGAGGAAAAAAAATATATATGAATAATTATAATTATATTTGGTTGTAAATATGTAAGAAAATTACATTTAAATATTAGGTAATATTGAAACATGGTTAAAAAAAAAATGAATACAATGTGAAAACGGATATTCATACATTGATGTAGAATGTAACTATAAAATTAAAATAAAATAAAAGAGAGATCATACAAAGCGAAAATACTTAGAATAATGAACAATTAAATTGAATTAATCAATAAAAATTGAAAGTAGATAAAAATAATACAATGTAATATATAAGTTATTTTTCACTTATAAGATTTAAATTTTTTCTATGTGTTAAAGAAATGCAGTTTTTATCTACTTTATGATTAACAGGATTCTGTTCCATGTGAATGTGGATGGATTCGGAAATGAGTCTTTTTTCATGGTTAGGGACCGTAGCAAGAATAGAGGTTTTTTCAAAATCAAATGAATGGTTGAGGATTAAGGCATGTTCTGATAGTTTGGAGGCGGAAGGGTTCCGGGAAGTTATGGATGCTTAATTTTGGTAAATGCGGGTTTTGAGATGGTTTTTAGTTTCGCCAATATAGGAGCTATTACAATTAGGAGTAGAGCAAGGTATCCGGTAAACTACATTAGAGCGGTGTTGTAAAAGTATGGGATCCTTTAAGTTGGTGAAATAGAAAGAAAGTTTGTTATAGGACTTAAGGCCAAGAAGTAAATTGGCTATAGTCGATTTAAGGAATTTTTGTATATTATCTGAGAGAATAGGAATATAGGGGAGAGATTTGTATATGAAAGGAGTGGTAGCTGATTGTGGGGGGTTGTACTCTTTTTGATTGTATAGCAGTTTAAAAGTGTAAGTATGGTGTTGAGAGGGAAATTATTGGAAAAGAGTATATTTTTGACACGCTGAGTGTTGGCTTGGTGATATTGTGGATCAGATAAAGAGAGAGATCGGTGAATAAGGTTTTTGGCGGTATTGATTTTTTTTTTGATATGGGTGTTGAGAATAAAAGTTGAGTAACGTGGGTTTAGTGTACCAGTCAGTAGAAACATAACCGTCAGTGTTTTTTATTATTAGGAGGTATAAGAAGGGGAGTGAATTGTTAACTTCTTTCTCTATAGTGAAACGAAGACGGGAGTGGTAATAGTGGAAAGAATTTGAGGAATACTGTCAGGGTTAAGAACAAGGAGGAGGTCATCGACATATTTTTTGATGAAAAGAAGGGATAACAGAGTCTAGGAGGTCATTAAGAACAATTTTGGAGATATCTGGTGCTAAAGAATTTCCCATGGCTAGACCTGAAATCTGATTATAGAATTTTCCTTGGAAGGTGAGGTATCCGGATCTGCAACAAAGCTCAAGGGATTCAAGGTATGAGGAGAGGTTGGGGTGGTGTGAGGTTCGATGATTGTCCAGTTTTTCTGTACAATGTGGAGGGCTTTGTCTACTGGGATGTTGGTAAATAAGCTTTTGGCGTCTAGGGATACAAGGATAAAGTGTTCAGGAATATGGAGAGAAGATAACTCTTCTTTAAGATGGAATGAATTATGAATGTCGTAAGGATTATTGTGGCTAAGTTTTTGGAGAGAGGGTAAAAGGAATTTACTGAGTTTAGCTGAGGGGGCGTTAATATTTGAGATGATAGGGCGGAGGGGATTTCCAGGTTTGTGAATTTTTGGGAGTTCATATAACCGGGGTGCTAAGGAGTTGTAGGATATGAGGTTCTAGTAAGTGGGACGGTTAATTTGTTTGGTCTCAAGTAAGTTTTCAATGTGTTGTTTGAATTTTAACATTAGTGTACGGGTTGGGTTGCAAGTTGGGTCGAAACGTTGGCTTTTAATAAAATAGTTTTGCCACTATTTAGCCTATTTATGACCGCCACCCCGGACCTTTATAATGCAACGGTCAACTATTAAATATTCGATATATATCTCAACCTCATTTATTAAACAGATATCAAAGGTTAAAGATTTATTATTTATTTACTACATTAAGACTGACTGTACAAAGTTTAACGTGCTTAATACTAAATAACAGGTTTTAATCACCTGATAAACAAATGAAAGATGAGCAATGACAGTAGTTGCGCATGTGTTTGTCTAGTTCTGTGTGGTTTAGTGCTAGTGAATACTGTGACATTTCAATTTATGATTATCATGGGAGACACCATACATTTATTCACTTTTGCAGAACAAACAGACATACTTATGGCGTGGTACATAGAAACGGTGCTGCTGCTGTTCGAAGATATCGTGAAAAATTTCCTAACCGAAGAATACCAAATCGTAAAACGTTTGAAGCAATTGAAAGACGCCTTAGGGATAATAGGACCTGCTAAATGGCCACCACGACCTCCGGATTTAACGCCAATAGATTATTTTGTGTGGGGCTGGATGAAGTCTATGGTTTATTCTGCGGCAGTTGGCACGCAAGAAGAGCTAAGAAATCGCACCGTGGAAGCCGCAGTAACGTTTTTTTTTTTTTTTTTTTTTTTTTTTTTTTTTTTTTTTTTTTTTTTTTTTTTTTTTTTATCCTCGGGTGGTCTTGTCGCTCCTAGGGAGAAATGTACACGGCCAATTGTGTCTCTCCACCCATACACAAACTCCCGAAAGAGCGGGTAATTTTCTTTCTCCAACAGGCGGGGAAAATTCTGTTCCGTTAGGGTATACATTCCTGTTTCTTTCACCAATTTGTACGGCGTCCCTCCATTGCTGTGTAGTATACCAGGATGTGCTCGGCCGTCTCAGGCAGTCCGCATGGAGGGCACCGGGGGTCGATGTCCTTCCCATGGTCAGCCAGCTTTCTCCGGAACCCACCATGTCCTGCGAGATCCAATAATCAGGGCGAAACCAGGTCGCCTTGAGTATGTCTTGGACGTTGGGGAAAAATTTTCTGAGAGTGGACCCTTTCCACCGTCTGTTTCACTCCTGGATGGATTTCTCCCTGACTATCTTCTTCCATTGGTTGGGGTTCTAGTCTATTTTTTTCGGAGTCCCTCCGGTAGCGTATCCAGTCCCTGCCTTTTGACCTCAAACTTCCATGTGTCCTCATTGAGAATTAGTTCCAGGGGCATCGCTCTGGCCAGCACCTGCACCGCCTCGTGGGAAACCGTTCTGTAGGCTCTAATGACGCCCAGCAGAGCCAGACGTTGTATGGTGGCCAGTCGTCTCTTGCGGTTTTGCATCAGGCTTCGGCTCCACGCGGGGGATGAGTACCTCAGGATACCCAACTCCTTTGAAGCCGCAGTAACTATACTATACGAAGAGCCAGTGATGCATGGATTCGTCGTGCTGAATGTTGCATTAAAAAAAACGGGGGCCTCTATGAACAGTTACTCTAAATGTTGTAATAATAATAAATAAATAGTAATAATAAATATTTAACCTTTGATATCTGTTTAATAAATGAGTTTGAGATATATGTTAATGTGAACTTTTTTTTTATTTTGTGTTACTTAACATAAACCTAAAATAGTGGCGTGCAATTACGAAACATCCTGTATATTTTTTATATACAGTATAAAATATATATATATTAAACACTGTTTATTTTTATTTTTCTGCTCGTAATATATTGCGTCATAGGTAGATCACAATACTTGTCTACTTTTTTAGAATATCTTCACATGTTTTCACATAAACGTCTGAAGGAACATATATAAATCATTTATTTACTCTAGTTATTTTTTTTATTCTTATTTTTTATATTGCAGCACTAAAATTGGTTACCTATAAAACTTATTTAGCATTTCTTTCCAATTTTATTTAATTATTAGTATGTTGTTGTTTTTGTACCAATATTATAATATTGTATTCCTTGTACCCATCTGCTTTCCTTCATATACCCTCTAAAACTATGTATATACTCATTTTATTACTTATATTGCAGGTACTCTTTATTATAATAGGTCATCTGGCCAGATTTATTGTCAATTGGTTTAAACAATACTGTTATTCTTAAGTGACCTAGTCCCAGAATAAAGAAGATTTTCTATTTCTATTTCTATACTCTTCTTTATTTATTATAAATTATTATTTACCTATTTCTTTTCATTTTATTTATTTATTTGAGATTGATTATACCATATTATTATAATGGAAGGGCTATTTCATAGCTCCAATAAACGTCGGTAAAGAGGTCGGATATAAAAACCAACAGACCCTATTCAAGTATGTGAAGCCTTCAAAAATTCACCTACTTATTTGATGGTAAATAGGGAAGGAGATATAGGGTTTCAAAGGGTATCTCCTTTTTTGATAAATAAATTCATTATTAATTTGGTCGGAGAGGTTAAAAACGTCAAGAAATTAAGGGACGAAAATTTACTAATACAAAATAGTAATAGTAAACAGTCAAAAAAAACTATTAGATTGTAAGCAAGATAAAGCTGAGGAGTTCGCCATTCACCTATCCAATACATTTATTTCACATCCGGAATCCCATCCTGCCCACACCGTAACAGTAGAAGAACTCCTTACATCACCAATCCCACTTTCCTTGCCCCCAAAAGCTATTCATCCTTCCGAAGTAAAATTTCAATTAAAAAAACTAATCCTCCGTAAAGCTCCTGGACATGATCTCCTTACACCTCAAATCCTTCGACAACTTCCACCCAAAGCAGTCATATTCCTTACATATATCTACAATTGTATCCTACGCACCACCCACTTTCCTCTGCTATGGAAACACTCCACTATTATCCTTTTCCCAAAACCAGGTAAACCTCTCAATAGCTCAACATCCTATAGACCAATCAGCCTACTCCCAATCCTTTCAAAAATTTTTGAAAAGATCCTTTTGAAACGAATCCTACCCATTATAGAATCCCAAAATATCCCTTCCCATCAGTTTGGTTTTCGCTCTCAACATTCTACTGTTCAACAAGGACTCCGAGTTGTTGATCATATTTCCTCAGCCCTAGAAAACAAGGAATACTGTTCGGGTGCCTTTCTGGACATTGCACAGGCATTTGACCGGGTATGGCACTCCGGACTGCTCTCCAAGCTTAAAATCCATTTACCTCAGTCCTTGTACCTAGTCCTCCGATCCTACCTCTCTGACCGCTTCTTTCGAGTTCGCTGTGGAACAGAATTTTCCAATATCTACTCCGTTAAAGCCGGTGTTCCCCAAGGCAGCGTCTTGGGTCCCGTGCTTTACATCCTCTTTACTGCTGACATCCCTGTTCATCCCGATACTTTTCTTGCAACATTCGCTGACGACACCGCAATCTTATCATCCAACTCTGATCCCGAAATAGCATCCTTAAATCTCCAAAGTCACCTCACCTTGATTGAGCACTGGTGTAATAACTGGCGCATTAAAGCTAATGAAACTAAATGCCAACATATTACCTTCACACTCCGACGCAATTCCTGTCCACCAGTACTCTTTAATTCCATACAGCTTCCTTATTCAGACACAGTCCGGTATCTTGGCTTTCATTTAGACCGAAGGCTAACTTGGAACCCGCATACTAGACTCAAAAGACAAGAACTCAACCGACGATACGGCCAACTATACCGACTACTAAGCAGAAAATCTAAACTTTCCATTGAAAACAAGCTACTGATCTACAAGACAATACTGAAACCTATTTGGACTTACGGACTAGAACTGTGGGGATCAGCAAAATTTTCTAACATCAAGCGCATCCAATCCTTCCAGTCTAAAGTCCTTCGAACAATAGTCGATGCTCCTTTCTATGTATCCAACAAAACCCTACATCATGACCTTAACATCCCACTTGTCCTAGACCTTATCCCAGAAAAATTCTCCAAATTTCACCAGAACCTTACTTACCACCCAAATCCTCTTGCACAATCACTATCAAGCATCTCCCATCCCTATAATCCTCCAAGAAGGTTGAAACGGCAGTGGCCTCGCGACCTTTTGTAGATTATATAAATTGGAGTTCTGGCAATGGCCAGATTCTTCACTCAAGACATGTGTGTATGTATTATTTATTTTATTTTATTTTATTTTATTTTCCTCCCTACCCTGCCTTTAAGACAATACGGGAGTTTGCAGCAGTGACTTGATACACATTGTATAACAAATCACTGTTGCATGTTTATCTATTTACATTTTTAAAATGCTGTGCACACAGCCTGCTTGATAATTTTGTCACTTAGTTATTGTTCTCCATCTTCTTCTCCTGTCCTAATTAGCGGCCTTCCAGGTACTGCTTCTTCACGCCTTCCCAGGGAGAAGTGGGTTGGGCCCACAGTTTTTTTCCAGCCGCATACGAAACTTTTAAAGTGCGGGTAGTTTTGTTCAGACATTAGTTGGGGTAATTGTCCTTCTGTAAGAACGAAAAGCCCTGTATCCCTCATTAATTTGGCCCTCAGTGCCTCATAGCTGGTGCAGGCTACAAGGATGTGCTCAGCGGTTTCAGGTACTCCACAAGTGGGGCATAAGGGATCGATATTTTTACCGTGTTTAAAAAGTTTTGCTCTGAAACCCCCATGCCCCGTGAGGATCTGTGAGACCCAGTAGTCCGGGAGGATCCATTTCTTTTCTAAGCGCGATTTAATGGTGGGAAAGAATTTTCTTAGTGTGGACCCGTTTGGGGTTGTCACCCATCGCCGATTCCATTGTTCCAATGTATCCTCCCGGAGGATCATCTTCCATCTTCTGGGGTCATCACAAATCCTCTCCCGAATGTTTGCTGGTAAATCCGCCAAGTCATCCCTCTTAATGTTGTACCGATAAAGGTCTTCCCGCAGAAGGAGGTCGAGAGGAATACCTCCTCCTAAGACCTGCACCGCCTCATGGGACACGGTTCTGTATGACCTGGTTACTCTAAGCAGGGCCATCCGCTGGATTGTTGCCAACTTGCGCTTCTGACGGTACGAGAGATTCCGGTTCCATGCGGGGGACGCGTATCTCAGGATACCAATAACTACTCCTTTATAAATGGACATAGTTGCTGGATATCTAAGGCCCCAAAAGGCCCCCCCTATGCGACTGAGACCATTAAGGGCTAAGGTTATCCTATTCCTTAAGTAATCCAAGTGAGGCGTCAAGTTGAATTTTTTCCCAATCCTAATTCCAAGATAGGTGACTACCTCACTTGGACATATTCTGGAACCTTGTATCACCAAGGTTATGGGGTGTGCCCTATCGGTCGAACCTCTCAAGAGGATGGCCTGAGTCTTGGAACCCGCCATCCTTAACTTCTTTTTCTCGCACCATTCTTCTACAAGGTTGGCACAACGTTCAGCTTCATATTTTAATCTGGCCCTGCTATTCGAGGCCACTACAACAGCCAGGTCATCTACATATGCAGTGGCGGGGAACCGCTCCTGTTCTAGCACTCCCAGCAACTCGTCAAAGACTAGTTTCCATAGGGCAGGGCCAAGGACAGAGCCCTGTGGACAGCCCCTTTCCACTGTATCTTCTACTTCATAGAAGCTACCTTTAATCTTCAATGTCCTATCCTGGAGATAGCTTCTGATCAAGCCATACAAGTTGCTGGGGGCTTCATGCCTTTGCAACTGCTGGAGTACGCTCGGCCACCAGACGCTATCGAAGGCGGATGATATGTCAAACAGGAGGAGCATAACATACTTCTCCGCCTTCTCTTCAACATCACAGCGCACTCTCAGCAGGGCATCTGCGGTTCCCCTGCCTTTAGAGGATCCGTACTGCCGTGGATGGCTCGCTCTCGAGAAGACTGGCCGTAGGCTGGTGAGTATCAGGTTTTCTAACACCTTGCTCATGACTGGGAGGAGACATATAGGTCTATAAGATTTGGCTAATTGCTTATCTTTGTCTCCTCCTTTGTAAATGAGCTTGACGTTAGCGATTTTCCAGATTCTTGGGAAGTATTCCCTGTCTAGGCAATGATTATAAATAGCCAGCAATCTTTCCTCTATATAGGGAATACTGTTCTTGAAAATTGACGCGTCAATGGTGTCTAAACCGGGGGCACGACCAATCTTTTGCTTGTCCACGGCAGTGCGAAGATCCCATATGTCCCATGGTGGGCATATCCCATATATGTGTGTATGTGGCTAAAGTGCTCTCGACCAATCTCCGCTGGCTTTACTACCAGTGACGCGGTTGGAAGAGTAGCGCAGGGTTCTCCTGGAGTTCCCTCGCCTGATTGTATATAGGTATGCATGTTATTTTTTTTTCCTTAGTTTTAATTTTCTTATTTTTTAGGTTATTTTATTTTATTGTCTATTGTATATACTTTTGATTATTATTTTGTTCTATTTATTTTATTTTTTTGTACATATGGTGTGAATGTTATCCTACCTCACTATAACCAATGTCCAACAGACAGATTGTTATAATAC